AATTGCGGTTGTCATGGTAGCTACTTGCAATAGTTTTCCAGTACTAACTTGAATAATCATTATTTCTACCTTACCTTTCATCTACATTCATTTCATTCATTCATCTATTCCTCAAAACGAATGGAAATTCTTCCTCTATTACTATTTGTTACTGTTTATAATCATTAATTTATTTTCATTATATCCTCTATAATTATTAATCGAATTAATCGATTACTGAATATAATTTTGCCATTATTGCAAAGTGATGGAAGAATGAATACAATTCAATAGGTGGAGGAAGCAAAGAAAGTTTTTGAGAGAACTATTACCTTTCTATGAAGCCAGCTTGTAAAGCCGAGCGAGAAAAAATGTTACCTCAAAAGTTCGAATTTATTCTGGCTTCACGAAGATTTCCAGAAGTTTCATTTATTCACTGGATGGAGAAATATATATAGTAGCATAGTTTAGGAAAATGTTTTAAAACAGTTTCAAAATTAAATTTAAAAAAAAGTGATTTCAGTCAGATGGTGATACGGCGTCGGTGTTCGGTGTCGGTTTTCCACCTTTCTGGGGTGGTCCATTTCGTTTTGTGGATATGTACGGTGCAGATAAACTTATAGGTAATATGTTACGGTATGCAGAAGCCTATCCATCGGAACAGTTCAAACCAGCTCAAATTATCCAGGATCATGCCAAACGAAATACAAAATTCTATCCAGAATAAATGCATTTTTCTTGGATAATATCTAAATTACCCCTTCTTGTGATCCATTTACTATGTGATACGATCATTTGTATTGGCCAATATATAAAAAATTACAACAATTCGGAATATGTCTGGGGAAAAAAGAGTACCTGATTTTCGGAACCTTTTCCTTAATTGAATATTTTCTCATTTTTACAAATTTATAAGTCTTTTTCCATCCTCTGTTCGTTCCACTGATTACTTATTCTGTTTCGTCTTACAGCAAATGTCTTACAACAAGCGAATTAATATTTGAAAGAAAAATTAAATCATAAAATTTCTTAGACCTAAAATGCCTAGTTTAAAGTGATGCTTGGAAGTACAGTGCACTTAATAAAAGTTTCATCCGTTGCGCTAATTATGTAAAGAATAAACAAATAATGAGTAAAATTCAGGCCTGAGTTAGGTGTCGTCACAAAGATATGCCAGGAGTTCGATAGGGCATCGTGATGTCATTGGGCAAAGGACCCTGATGAGGCTTTTGCTGTCGCGTTGGGCCTGTTTGGCCGAGCCGCGTTTTGCAGCTATCGCAGTAAGTACCCCCTCCCATTGTACCGAGTTGTGGACAAAGTACAACTTTTTAATGGGACCTCTTCCCGAGACAGGGTAACTTCGAATAAGGAGGTTGGTTATTGCATGGCGCCTCAAGTGCTTGGGCCGCGCTGCAAGGCTTGTGGTACAGAACAGGTGTAAGGGCCAGAAGTGATTTGAGATACTTCTTAAAAGCCCCCAGAGTTGTCGAGAGCAGGTTTATATGGACAGGTCACTTGTTTTAGAGTTCGCCACTACTATCATTACTTGGGATATCGGTACGATGCTTTTTCAGGGACACAATCTGCTTCCCAAATCTTTGGTTTTTCTTTTCTCGTGTCAAGGGCAGGGTCCTTCTATGTGCATACCATGAAAGTCGAAGCTTTTTTGCGTACTCGTTGTATTATTCGAGGTTTTTAGATCGGGATTAAGTGCTTGCTCTTAATGCCCATATTTACTGTTTACATTATTGGTAGGCATTTCCTGCTGAAGTGATAGTGGTAGAAATTACGTTATTTTTACTCTCAAAGCATTGAGATATATTTATTTGTGTTTCTATTTGGGACTCCTCTGGATAAATTGATTTTGAAGAAATCTGATTTCTGCCGAACTTGAATTAAACAGTTGAAATTTGAATTGTACATCTTCTTAACTTGAATGCCTCAGCTCAGTTTTTAGGTTTTTATTGAGTCGACGGGGATCTGGATATACATCAGTGATGTTTTTATATACAAATCTTGAAAGTTTATGGTTTACCAAGAATAATTTTCAGATTGTTTTAGGCGGTTAGTTTATGATATATCCTTTGGCGTAATGCAGCTGATATGAATTTTTGATTGTTTTAGTTGGAATCTGTTAAATTATACTGTTTAACATTCGTCTGTTTTGCTGATGAAATTGTTTATCATTGCTAAATATCGCTTTTTTGCAAAGTAAATGTTTTCACTAACCTAAGAGTTGTAGGTCTTTTCATTTTATTGCTTTTCAGCATAATCTGGAGCATCAGCATAATATCGTTTCTTGTTGGAATGGAATAGTAATAAATTCACGATTTTTTTTCCGAAATTTCCTCTGTGTAACGCAATTAAAACCAGAAACTTCCTACTATATATATATATATATATATATATATTATATATATATATATATATATATATTA